ATTATGGTTAAATTTGTTATGGCAACTCAGACTCAAAAATCTTAAAAATAGTAGACAAAATCCACAACGCAGGACTGAGATTGTCAATTGGAGCTTTTAAAAGCAGCCCTATAATAAGTTTGCTTTCCCTGACTGGAGAACCTCCACTTCATTTCCGCAGACTTAAATTATCTCTTAATTACATAGCTCGTATCTTATCTACACCAAATAATTCAACCATTCATTTTTTAAATAAAAATCGTTTTTCTAATATATACGAACAAAATCCTAAATTAAGAAAACCATTAGGACTAAGACTACAGCTAGAGATGATGGAAATTAATATCGTAGCCAATGAAATATGCCAACGTGAAAACTGCCAGATACCAAATTACCGAGTTGATACAGGCTTAACAGTTCACTCGAAAAAAGAAACTTAACATTTACAACAGCATTTATACAGCAGAATATCTAGATTTATTTAAAGGAGTCCAATTAGTTCTACAGATCCAAAGTACTAAAATAGATATTTGTTCCGACTCACTCAGTGCCTTAGCTAATCTGCAATCAATAATACTTTCAGAGCCATTGGCTATACAAATTAGCAACCTTCTTTCAAAATCAAGCAGAGACATTCAATTCGTATGGATTCCTGGTCATTGCAACATAAAGGGAAATGAAAAGGCAGATGAAGCAGCTAGAAATGCAATTATGAGTCCAAACAGTGAATTAATCCCCTTTTCCTCACTTGTTGATATAAAGTGGTATATAAATAAATACTTCATTAAATGGTGGAACACAAAATGGCACAATGCCACGGAAAACAAACTAAGAGAAATTAAACACTGTCGAACTCTGGCCAAAATACACCAATCTAAATAGGAAAAATGAGGTAATTCTTAATCGCTTAAGAATCGGCCATACCAAATTCACACACGAACATCTCATGGCTAAAACAGATCCACCCCTATGCCCAACATGCAACATAAACTACTCTATCAAACACATCATTGTTCACTGCCCAAACTTTAATGCAGCCAGAAGAGATTTCAACATCTCTGATAACCTGTATGATGCTATTGGCCCTTTTTCCAACTGGGAAAACATAATTTTATACCTCAAAGAAATTGAATTGTATAACAGCATATAATAAGTTTGATTATTTGTAATACTTGTTTTTAATTGTATATAATTGAATTGTTCAATAACACATAATATCGTAAATGTAAAAATGTAATAACAGTAAAGCTAATAACCTTGCAGTTGATGCTTAAACAATAAAATAAAAATAAAATAAATAAATAAATAATGTAATAAAATTCATAGACAAATAAATAATTTAAGTGCATTATTGATATGAAAATAATATTTGTTTATATAAATTCTTTTATAGTCTTACTATAACGTCTACCTTTTGGGTCGATATTTTGATTTTTATGAATGTTAAAAAATAATTCTTGAGAGAGTCCTCCAAATTTGTCTAACATAAGTTCTTTAGATTCCATGTTAATACTTTTTTGTCTTTAAGTAACTTTAAAAGACCTGCTAAAGTATTAATTTGAATATCTTTACGTCTGATTTGTTGCTTTAATAATTTAATTGTGTTAGCTAGCTTTATTATTTTATTTTTAAGAGGACGCCACACGTAAATTGTAACGTACTCAACGTTTTTTTTCTTTTATATAAGTGGGTTCTCTTTTGTCAGATAAATTAAGTCTTTTCACATACAGTGGATCAACAATTTCCGGCAAAATACATTGCGTATAAAACCTAAAAACCATACAGTATAATTTATTATATCATTTTATTGAACTCAACAAAACTTTAAAAATATTCCTCACAAATTTAACTTGTTGATCATTTTTTCTTCCCAAAATTTCTTATCATAATAAATATGTTCTACGCTTATCCAATGTTTTGTCTAAACAACAAAATAACACATATTTCTACGTGTTATATGAAGTTGACCCATAACTTGGTAGTAATAATGATGATCATGTTTTAACTCCAGTGTATTTTCTTGTGTTAGATTACAACAAGGGTGCCCAAACCCAGGCCCGTCAACGCTTTTGGATTTGCACTTCAACATCTATACTCTATAGTCTATGTCTCTATGACATTTAAAATTATTAATAATATTTCTTTATAGTTTAAATTTTGTTGTATATTTTATTTTATATACGTGTGACGTACGTTTCCACAACCCCCCCACCCAAACTTTTATATTTTAACAATTATTTCATGCAACTATTTAGCATACAATTAGCATGAATTTGCACGACTATTTTTGTAATTTGCACGATTTTAGATTGTGCGTAAAATCTAAAAATATCCATGGGGGGCTGAAGAAATATTTCACCAGCTCCGCCAAACATAAATAAAGACAAATCAAAATTTTAATTAAAAGCTAAGAATTGAAAATTTAATACTAGGTAGTCCATAAGATTATGATATTGTTTATTAAAACAATATTATGAGTTTCAATTTTATTTTAAATACATACCTCAGTTATTTTTTATAGGCGTATGAAATTAAAATTTTTATAAAAGTTCGCAAAATTTCGAACCAATATAAAAGAAACAAAATAAAATATCTTAGGCTGATATATCGTCTTCGTTCAGAATCGTTTTTCATCATATTCAATGGTCTATTATTGAATTAAAATTTAACACATCCATAACAGTGACTTACTCTATAACCGAGATATACTCCACCTCCTACTGTACAGCAGAGCAAGTTTCCCGGATTTTTTTTGTTTTTCCTAATTTTTTTGAAAACTATTGGAAAATGTATACTTTTGACCTCTCTTATGCACAAAGGATATTCACTTTGCCATCGGGCACCATCAACCATCCCCCGAAGTTTGAAATTGAAACATTATTTTTACAAGTTATGCTGTACATATATTTTTTTTTTTTTTTTCAAACATAATACACAATCTGTATCGACTAGACACAATAAGAATATTTAATGAGAGTTACAAAATTGACATGGAAATTTGATGAAAGGAGCCACCCATCGATGGCACTTCCTAATGCTGTACATATAGACAAAAAAAACACACAAATCATTTTATAATCAATACATTCATCACTCTTTTCTGAATCTAAAATTAACTAATATCTTTATTATAATCATTTTACTAGTGTATTGATTGTTATCATTATATTATTAAACCAGTTATTTATTATTATTATTGTATAATAGCTTAATTTAAGAAACCTTGTTAAAACCACAATGTATAACCGTTTATTAGTTGTGTGATTAAAAAATGTTTACATACTTTTTTTCATAAGCCGGACAGCCTCTCTTTCTCTTATTGTTTCACACGCCATTCCTTCATCAAACATTAAAGAAATAGCTTTTTCCTTAGTGGGTCCAATAAGATGATGTTTTTTTGTGGTTATATGTTCGTTTTTATAATTACCAATATACGTGCAATACATGAGAACTCTATTTTTAAAAACGAATTTTATTAAAATATTGTGAAATATAACATATTGTTTAATGGCAGTGTTTCGATTATTAAGATACAATTTTCTAAAAAACGATGTAGATGATGTTGGTTAACTTTCCTAACATTGTTGATAGTATAATTAAATTGTTAATATACAAAAATGTGTAAATTAATGCCAAGAAAAAAAGATAGTATGCTATGGTAAAATGACGTATAATTATTATTTAAATTTAAAACATTACTTTGAATTTCCTAGTGGCTTTTCTTCAACTAATTCATTAAATTTTGAATCACACACAGAACAACGTGCCACTATGTGTATATAAGCAGATCCATTTGGATACACTTTTGCTGTCCGAAAAGACAAAACACATGGCAGTTGTGTGTGCACCCAAAAGTGCTCAGCTAGAACAAGTGTCCATAAACTCTTTGTTAAGACATAATAGGACCTAGAACTCATCATTGGCCTAAGTTTATCGTTACATTTATATAATTTCTCTTCTGGTTGTATTTGAAGCCATTCCTCTGAAGAAAATGTGAAGACAAATTTTTTTTAGGTAAATTTTCTTCATCACTAGTATTTTCTTCTACAAGAAAAAACGAATTTTTAACTACAATTTTTAATTATATACCTTAGTTATTTTACAAACCAGTTTTTGGAAGAATATTAGTAAACTTATTAGACATAATAGTTGATTTATCAACAGTTAAAATTCCCAATTTTTCTTTTATTTTATTGCGTCCCTTATGAACAAATGTATGGATAGAGCTGACAGACATGCGACCCTCCAAGAAATTCAATAATATTTTTCCATACATTATTTGAAGCAGGAACTATAACTATATAAGAATAATAAATTATGAATAAGAAAATAATAATAAAAAATTATGTATATTACTTATAAGTAATTTATCTATAATAAATTTATAATACCGTTTACTTATTATATAACATTACTAAAGTTCGTTTCACGAAATTAGAGACTCGATAGTGGCGCGACCGGTGGTAAAATATCGGTAGGGGTACTCAACATATGGACTAAATAGCGTGCGAAAATTGAACAGCTGTACGGACCGTAGCTGCATACCTACCGACACACCATTGTTGAGTATCTTGATTCAATATTGCTATTATTGTATGCTTACATAAGGTTTTATAAACCACTGGATATTTTGATAACAAAATAATGATACCAGATTAATGATAATAATGTTGACATGTACAACACATCGCACATGTTTATTTTGTATATCGACGTAATCGTGATTCACAATTAATTATCTTAACCAGCTGTGCCATTATCGTTTGTTTTACTGATTGCCATTAGCCCGCGTTATTTCAAATACACAGTGTAATTTTATTTTGAAAATGGCACGTGTTGATATTCACTCGCAAACAAAAGAAACAATTTTTAACGTTTACAATTATTTTAAAAAATTGTCAAAAGACCAAACGCACACTAAAGTTGCCAAGTATTTTCACCAACCTCAACAAATTACTGCGGATGCATGTGGAGTCAGTCTTAGCACAGTAAAAAGAATTACTAATGGAGGTTTCAAATCGATGGTGAGTGTAGAACCAGAAGCTGGCCCTTCAAAGCCATCATTTACTTTTCCGCGAAAACAATATAAGCGAGCTAAATATGCAACGGACATTGACGACTTAGATGCGGATATTGTACGTAGAACTATTCATGAGTTCTACGACAATCGTGAATATCCGACATCAACTAAATTACTGAGTAAGTACCATGAAAAAACTAATTATAAGGGATCCAAAACTTCAATGTGGCGAATTTTAAAGTCCTTGCATTTCAAATACAAGAAATGCAACGATGGTAGAAAATTTCTTATGGAGAGGAACGATATAGTGGCAATACGAGTAAAATTTTTACAAACAATGTGTAATTTAAGGCACCACAATGATACGCGCCCTGTCGTTTATTTGGACGAGACCTGGGTAAATCAAAACCACACTCGTGGATACATATGGCAGAACAAACAAAACTCCGAAGGGTTGAAGGTGCCTACTGGAAAAGGGAGTCGTTTGATTATCTGCCATGCCGGGTCAAGTTCGTTTGGATTTGTAGCAGGTTCGAAATTAGTATTCCGTTGTCAATCTGGCACAAGTGTGGACTACCATACCCAAATGAATTCGGCCATATTTAAAGAATGGTTCATTCAAATGTTGAAACATTTGGAAGAACAACCCATTATAGTTATGGACAACGCGTCATACCACTCCACTACAACAATAAATTACCCGAAGTCAAACGCCAAAAAATCTGATATTCAACAGTGCTTAACAGAAAAATGTATAGATTTTTCGTCGATTGAAACTGTGAGTGAGTTACGTGAACGGGTAAAAGCTGCAACGCCTAGAGAAAAGGAGTACGAACTTGATGGCATTGCTTTAGAAATGGGACATACAGTTGTACGATTGCCACCATACCACTGTCAATATAATCCCATCGAGCTTATATGGGCTTAAATTAAAAATAAAGTGGCAGAATTGAACACCACTTTTAAAATTGCTGATATCGAAAAACTGGTAAACGAAGTCATAGACTCAGTAATGGTCGATGATTGGAAGCGTTGTGTCAAGCACTGCGAACAATTGCAAGAATCGGATTATATAAAAGAAGGGTTAAGGGACGAGATTTTAGAACCAATTATTATGACTATAAATCCTGACGAAACTAGTGACAGTGAAGATGACGACGAAGACTTTTAATTTTATAATTTTTTTTTTATATGTTATAACCTTTTTTTTATATAAATATTTTTGAAACCTAATAAAAATGCATACAATTTAAATTGTTATTGGATACTTGTTTGTATTAATTATTTATAGTTAGTATTATTAATTAAGGTTGTGAATAATTTAGAGGTACGATATTAATATTATGAATGAAAACTCAAAAATAGACTCACATATAAAAATGTTAAATTCATACGTACATATTATGAAAATGTACATATAATTTCAAATTTCCCGCGCAAGTCGAAAGTTTGGATAACACTGAAATTCAAATTTTTGGCCACTGGTCACGCCACTATCGAGTCTCTAATTTCGTGAAACGCACTATAGCCGACCCACCACAGCTTCGCCCGTGATTGGATGTTTATTTTGCCTTCGGACCATGATATGTAGAATTTTTTATTCAAATATTATTGTTTAATGTGATCGGCAAGTAAATATAAAAAAACGGTTAATGAAAACGGATTGAAATTTTTCTAGCGTTATAAATCATAAAAATTAATATAGATAAAAAAGAAATAATTTATGGTTGATAAAGAATTTTATTGAAGTTGATGAAGAAAAAAAAGAAAAAATAAGAATTTTATAAGACTTCTGAGTATATGATATTTTTTGTTATATTTCCTGTTGAAATTAAAATCTATACTATATATAAAATTGTAAGGGTTTTTCTTAGACCGCGCTAACCGAAAAACTACTGAACCGATTTGGCTGAATTTATTTTGGCTATAAAACATAAATATCTTTATTTACACATAATAATAATAAATAATAATAATATAATTGAAATCTATACTGATAACCTTTATATTACTATTAAATTTTAATGGTAAAATTTTTATAACTTGGTGTTTGTCCTGTCAGCAACTGATTTGTAATTTCGGCCATTTCGGATTGCAAGTAAACGTGATGAACAAATCAGGTCGTCCGTAATTCCGCACGTACGTCATCGCATCTTAAGCATATTCATGCATGTGGCGCGGGCATCCAATATGAGTAGCGGGGAGAATAGTCAAACGACCAATGTTGGCCGCGTCTCCTTCGGTAGCGATGGCATCACGCAAGTGGATGTACTCGTCTGATCGTAACTTTGACTGATTGAAGCGAATGAAATTGAGACGCTCCGTTTCGACCTTGACGTACATGTCGACGCAGTACTGTTGAAACAACCGGCGATATCTCAATAGATGATTGTCAATATCTTGTCGAATCATCAATCGATATGCATAAAAATTCATTGAGCTGACATTCTTATTCGTTTCTTCTCCTGAAATATGAATTCAAACTTAGTTATAGTATGAAAAAGAAATTATGACCTGCAAACAAACCTGTCATTGGGTTGACCATCTTTATATTAAAGTGATAGCCATCCTCTCCTCGACAGAACATCAACGGGTATTGAAGTGCATCATATGACCGATGAGTCTCGTACACGCGCTGCAATTGTCCACCATCGCGACGCTTAAGAACAATATCGGGTGATGCCACATTTTCGCCAACAATCACCACTGCGACTTCATTGATAGTGGGAGCATTGAATTGTCATTCATGGCTTCCAGAGGATCTTTTGTCTGCTCTGATAATGATTTTGTGGTCGTCAGAATGCATTGTGTCCAATGCGGTTTTGAACATTCTGACCAATTGATTATGCTCATGCAGAAGAATTTGCAATTGTCCGATTATTTCACGTTTATTCGCAGGAAAAATTGCACACCGCTGTTCTAGTTCATTTTCTGAATTACCAACGAAATATATCTGAAGGAACTTATGATCTTCGTTTGGTTGTGGTAACAAAGCGCCTGCTCGATGGTGAATTTGTCCTTGAATCTAAATATTTAAATGGTCATTTGTAAAAAAAAAATGTGTTATTATTCAAACGCCTTTACCTTATAACTCGGGTTGTAGCCTGGTTGTTCAATAATTTCTGCTCCAAATGACGTAATTTGAAAACTTCCGTTATATTTTTGTGTATTCGCCAGGAAATGTTTTGATTGGATTGTATTTCCATAGAGAAACGAATACAATGGCTCTAGTGGTTAAGCTAAAACTGGTAATTTAACCTTGCCACCAGCACAGCATAAGCCGGGGGTTTCTAATCGAAACTTCAATGCCTTGCAATGCTGGCATACGATATATAATGAGCCGATATCAACACACGAAAGATCTTTGTAAGCGACTGCGGAATCGTATTCGAAAGCAGCACGATTCAAGGATACATCTGAACTTCTTCTTCTTATATTAACATGTTGTCGAATTTGGGGCGGCGTTTGTGCAGCGCGGGCCTGTGTATTATGAGCACGTCTAAATTCTTTAATGTTTCTTGCATTACGTGTACGCCGTCCAATATTTGTTCTTCTCATAGGAGGGCATGATTCAAGCATAAAAATTCTCTCCAAAAAACAATAGTCGTTTTTGATTGAAAAAGTTCATAGATAACATAAAACGATAATGTTTCAAAATAAAATGAATAATGTGCCAACTATTATATTTGTTTACTCTAAAGTCCTAAGTGTCTATAATAAAAAATGTATATCAACCAGAACATAAAAATATATTTTTTTTTTCGATTTTTATCGATATTAATCGATTTCAAGCCCTGCTATTATCGATATTTGTATTATATTTATATTTATATTTTTATCTGCTAGAGGGCGCCACCGGCGTACCTCGGTTTTTGTCTCTAAATCTCTAACTCAC